AGATTCTCCCCAGTAAACAGAATTAATGTCATGAAAGGCGAATAATAAAAATTAAACAATGAAATCTGAGTTTCGAAATTTATTTGCAACATAACACTCCGCTAAGGGTGATGCTTCACGAAATCTACTTCTATTTCATGCATTAAGGAGAGACAGGAAGCTCTACACTTCCTCCGCAGGCTATAATTTTAAACCTGATCTAATTAATATATCATCTTCAGCTGCAAGGAACATTCCGTGCTTTCTGTATATGTAATAGAAATGCGAGATAATTTTCCCTAGAAAGATCGTGGAAATTATTCCTCTCAAGACAAATAGCTTTTGTACGCTTTCCTATAGTAAACAATCCCGAAATTAACGAAGATACGCATAAAAGAACACATATAATAGAGTGCTATTGGTTTTATTTGCCACATGAAGTGATATAATTTGAAAGTACGCTTGCCATCAAGGAATTAATAAGCTACGGAATTAATACTACAGATTAAAAACTTCAAAGGGGGAGATGAATAAATAAATATAATACATATATGTATGTCAATAAAAGTTCTTACGTGGCTTCTGTTTGCGTAACCGTTGGGAGTAGACAAATATACTTCCATCTATACAAATGATTTAAATAAGGCATATATTCATGTTTTGGTACTATTAAAATTCAAAATCAAATTCGTAAAAATTAAGAAATCTTACTTTTTTATACAGTTTCTTGGTTCCTGTAATAATATACAGTAAAAGTTTATATCCGTTCTAAACAAATAAAACACAAAGCGTTTGACATTAGACAAAAATTGAGGGAAACATTTAATTTTGAATTTTGAGATCATGTTTTTCTAAAAATTCAGGGGTTGTACAAAAATTGAAGAGCGCAGTGTTTAAAACCTGCATGCGACTGAAAATGAAATATCAATTTAGGAAAAGATTTTTGATGCTAATAGGTTAGGCATGCAAACTGTCATGCAAAGTCATCAAAATCCTATTTTATTTGTTATGTATATAACCTAAATTTTGTATTCTACATTATGCATACTATACTCTATGTACGTACCATCAAAATTTCTGTTAATATTTATATGAATTAAGTTAATATACGTCAAGTATATGTCAAAATTATGCATACATCAAAATCAAAATTTTTATTGTAATATAAAATTTTAAATAAACATGGTCCCACTTGAGTGAGCAATAAAGCTGAAAGTCTTCATGGCTGCACAGCTGCTCACCCAGTGGTCTCCTGTCATGAAAAGTTTCTATCAATTTCTGCGGTACAGTTTTCAGAAGGAAAAGTCAAATCTTAAAAAATGAGCCGATGACATCATTTGAATGATGTCAGACGATGAGAGGTTGCAGAGGAATGTCACAGTCAGAAATAGCCTGAGTCCTAACCATTACTCTTTCCGCTATATTTTATTCCACCTACGGAATCGATAGCAAATTCAACTAACTGTATCTCGAACACCTATAAGTAGATGTCTGAGCTACTGCTCATCAGTATGGCCGCTTTCCGTGTCGCAAAGAAAGATGCCACTTGTCAAACTGCATCCGATTTTGTCGCGTCAATGAGTAGAGCTGTATCTTCGTAATCTACTTACAGCTGGCTGTACACAGTTTAGCTGAATGCAGTCGTTTGCATTCTATGACGATTTCGCGCGCACCGGCCAGCTTATGTTGATTTTGGGATCACCTCAGATGGACTATACAGCAATTGGACACTGCGTTCTTTAAGGTTGAATCATAATTTGGTTTACAGAATGGCACAAATGGTTTTTCCCTGGAGAACACCTTAAACGTAGTATCATACGAATACCATCCATGAAATTTACGCATTCAAAAACGGTAATTTGATGGTTTGGTTAGGAGTTGCTGTCCGTTGTTTTACAGATCTGTACATCTTTCCTCCTGGTAGAGTGAATACGATACCGTGTAGAGATCAGGCCTTTGTTCAGCATGCTCACCAATTTCTTGCGGTCTTACTTTTATTTGGAAAGGTGAAGCGTAAGTTCACAGGGCTCGCACTTCCGATACTCGCAAACCCTATTTCGTATGGAATTTCCATCGAAATCATACAAATGGAATTTCATCGAGAAAATATGAAGTAAACTTGGAGGATGTTTAATTTCGCTCAAATATTTTCCTTCTTTATGAGGTAAGAATGTGCCTGCTTCGTGAAAGGGCACCCCACTAACGATCATAGATGATCGTACTCTTCACATCAAGTAACACTATCAGTTGACTGTTTCAGCAAAACTCATTACAACCCATACTGACAGATCCCTACCAAAGAACTTTTTACCATAAAAAAGTACATGTTTTTGTTTATCACTATTTAGTGCCTGCTACTTAGTGATTAACTGCTTAACGATTACTGTCTTTGTATTAACTCATTCTTTGTAATATGTCACGATCTCTTAAAAGTTTCATTGAATTAAAATTAATATTTTTCTCTTTATCCCTTTTATCACTTTGTTGCTTAACTTCTGGATCAGTGGATCAGTAGTTTTGTAGCGAAGCCATCGGTTCGAGGACCTTTACTACCATATATCACTTAATTTGCATAGCCTCAAAACGTAAAGTTCATGAAAAATCCGATAGACGGAAATACATCGACGGAGTGAAGCAATTAAATGGCAAACAGACTTCATGAGTGGATTTTATTTGATAAAACTCATTAAGTATAACACTGGTGACTATGTGAACCAACGAATAGCATTTCCTTTACTTTCTTCATTTAAGTCCTTACAACACAATTAAGAAGGTTTTAACATTTCATTAACATAATATTTACAATCGAAAATTTCCACTTTTCATCAACATTACAAACATTGAGAGTAGCATGCTCCTTAAATTTTTAAAGTCACGTGAAATGTTTTCTTGTCTATATACACACATACATTAAAGTATCGATTATGTCTTGAATTTTCACTGCAAACCCGAATTTTTTAAACTTCGTCTATGTATCTGTCTCCTGAGAAATAAACATTTAAAATATGTATACTTTCTGTGCACATAACAGTATACAGCCATTTACTATTTTATGTATTTGGAAAAAAATGCAACCTGCCCGCGTTTTAAACAATGCAACACTACCTGCATGTACTCCACAAGTTAAAGCGAATACAGTCACGTGAACGTTTTATTGTAGTTTTTAACTAGTGAAAGTTTATGAAGTTAAGCGAAAGAGACAATGCTGAGATTCATTTTTACTATCTAGGAACGGAAGCTAGGTTTATGGCTAACACAGTACGTGAGGACCTTAGATACATGCCCCAAACTTGCAAAAAATTTTATGCTTCCGTAGCATCTAATACAAAGAAGAGGGGGGGGGAGAGGGAAGTACAACTACGAAATCTTAACTAAAGTTAGCTGATGTAATAATTAGTGCGACTTTCCCTTTTGGACTTAACAAAGCAATTTCTTTCTAATTTAATGTAGTCATAATAACTAAGAGCGTCATCAAAATAAAATTCAGACGCGAAAATTGCGTACAGTCCCAAATTATGCAATGTAATTACCAACATAATCTCCTTCAGTGTAGAGAAAGCGAGGCATTATAATATTTTTTTCCCTTTCTTTTTTTTTTAATGGAATTGAAATAATTTTAACGTACATACTTGTTATTCATTAAATAATTTAAGGTGCGACCTGGACCCGAGTTACATAAATATATATAAATATATTGTTTAAAAAAGCTAAAAGTAATTAACAGCATTTTGACTACAGCATAAAATTTTTTAAAAATTAAAATTAACAGAAAATAATTGAAAGCCTGCAGATAAGCATATACACTTTCCAAGAAAATAATTTTCGTGTAACTCGAGTATGTCAAAAGAAATTTACATAAAATTTATACATACAATGCCACTGAGAAATGTTTATTTAAAAAAAAAATTAATAATTTCGGATTTTAACGCAATAATTTTAAACATGAGCATGTTAATAAACAAAAGTCAATTTGTTAAGACTGAAAAAAAAAGATACCATTTTTAACAGCTTTTTTTCCCCTTCGATATTATTTTGTAGGGTTTATTTTAATTTTTTAACGGTTATTTTTATTTTGGAACAAGCCTTTCCTTTACTTTCTCATTCTCCACTTACATCTCCCTGCCAGAATGAGTTTTCAGGATTACGATTTCTGTAAATGAAATAGAAATCAGTATTTAAGCTGAAGTCTGAATCACTTCACTAGAAGAGCTTAGAAAAGCTTAGAAGAGCGTGTTCTGCCTTCCGGCCACGTTGTTGCTACTAGTCTAATCTTAGTGTTATTCGACCGTATCGTTACGTGCCTGCTAGTATACGCCGGTGATCTTAAATAAGGGCTAACTCTGTTAGTTAATTTTGTGCAGCTTCGGCTGGTTTATTTTATTTAATATTTTACATTAGTCTTATACTTTCTATCCTGAGTTAAAGCCGAAGTGGAGGCTTATTGTAAGTCCGAAAAGGGACAATCTGTTCATCTATTTTGAGTTGAAATAAAGGGTAAATTAACCCTTCTTTGAAATTGTTACTTAACTGAACTCTGCAATTAGTCGATACACAGTTCTGAAGTATTCTAACTTTCAAGGAATACTAATTTAGCTAGCATATTACAATTTTCTCATAAAATTCGTATACATAAATGATGGAATGCGGAAGAAAATCAAAATGCTTCAATAAATACATTTTTACTTGGAATGAAAAAACATTGGTAAAAACAATTTCTTATGTCGTAGGTTACAAAACGTTTTTATCAGTGAACAAAAATAATACAGGCATCTGAAAGTTTTTATTGTATGATTCTAAGAGGAATCCTAGGAATGTAACTTTTTTTTCTTTTTTTTAAATATAGCGGGGACTACTCATTTTTGGGTTTGGCCACTCTTAAGGGCAGAAGTTTAAAAAACATTATATAACTTCAGTTTACTTTTTATTTACGTGAAAAATTATGATGCAACTGCAATAAAATTATTCGAAATGAAATGGAATATTTTACATTTAAATATTAATCACAATTGAAATACACTTACATGGAAGTAGTAAATACAGCATAGAACTTCTGGTCATCTTCTGGATGCTTGTAAATGTCCTCTGCAAAAACACGTAGAAAAAAAAATTATGTCTTGAATAGTGAATAAAAACATTTAAAACAAATACATTTTATTTTATTTTATAGATTCTAAAATTAAATGTTTTTTAAAGAAAGTGGTGTGGACGAAAGTTACTTAGTTAAAAATGAAAGCTAACTTCCAAAATTAAAAAAAAAAAAAAAAAAAAAAAAAAAAAAAAAAACTGAAATGTTTCAGATTTTAAATTACGTCCAAAGGGGCGTTTTTTAACATTTTGTGTGTTACCTTTCTTTATTAAATATCAACCATAAGATCCAGTGCAACAGCAATATCGCAAAATAGTTTTAGAACGAGCATATCTTTAGAATTTCCGATACAGAGACTCACGCGCTGGAGATAAAAATGTTTTTTCTGCACAACGTTGCCATTGCTCGCTTTGAAATCCTTGAGTTTGTTAATCAAAAATTCGTCAAAGTTTTAAAAAATAGGAAATCGATCATAAAACAAATTTCAAATTTCAAATTTGGTCTTCCACATACTCATATTCGTTGGAGGATTACGTTATTCAAAATTCGATGACTCTATGTACCGTTGTTTTATCACAATACGAGAAATATACATACATTTATGCAGATTTTTCATTATTTAATTTCTTTAAATATAATGCAGGACTCTAACATTTTGTGGCAACAGTTTGAAAAGTGAACCGACATTTATGAGTCCGACGCAAAATGCCAAAACGAAACTAATAGTCCTTCGGGATTCAAATCCCTTTGGACTAAAAACTTAAAAAAATACTTGAAACAGCAATTAATTATTAAACGCTGACATCAAATGCCGTAGAGACTATGAAGACGGATATAAAGGGTGTCTCAAAAGGTCGCTGCCGAACTTAACATGCTAGTATGTCATACCATGAAAGATTTACCTAGGAACTTGTGTCCCAAAATTCAAATCAGGACCACTAGAAAGCAATGTTCGCAGGCTTATGGTGTGATCATTTAGGCAAAGGACGTTTTAGGAGAAGGATGATTTGGTTTACTAACTCAGTTCCTTATGGACATTTTTGTGACATTCTGTGAAAAGAGTGTTATCGGATATCACGGCTGACTTTCCAGGTTTCAGCAAGATGGAGCACCTCCACAGTTTAGCAGCACTGTGCGGGAATACCTCGATAGGACACATCCTGACCACTAGATTGGCAGAGGGGGACCAGTCGCATGGCCACAGCGATCTCTCGACCTGACTTGTCTAGATTTCTACCTTAGGGATACATGAAATCCATGGTGTACGAGACGACCGTAACGTCTATTATGGATCTCGTCGGCAGGATTTTGGAAGCGGCGGCACGTGCCCCTGACACACCTGCCCATTTTGAACGGGTCAGTAAATCCCTGTATCGACGTTGTGAAGCACGCCTTGTGGTGAATGAAAGGAATTTTAAATATCTTCTATGATTTTATTCAATTAAAGTCACATTAACAGCTCTTTTGATATTTTTCTTTCTTCCCCTGTACCCTTGCGAACATTGCCCACTAGCGGTCGCCGTTCGCATTTTCGGACACAAGTTCCTATGTAAGTATTCTTTGTCATGGTATGACAGACCAGCATGCTAAGTTTGGCAATGCCTTTTGAGACACCCTGTATATCTGTCAGAGAATTATTTGACAGAGGAAGAACGAATGCAGAAGCATATAAATAATATAGCAGTATTCTGTTATGCAATTTAAGGAGTTTGTTTGCTGAAAAACTAAAACATAGCTCCCATTTAGGCAGCAAGACCTTGCAAAAGTGCTCTAAACATACTAGAACCCAAAGTTAACTTTATTTGCATTATTTATCTGAAACTGTTAAAACTGAACAATTTTATTTGGAAAAAACCGAAAAAGTGGACATCGATTCATACAATACAAAATTGTATTATGAAATAAATAAAACTGAAGTAATGTACGAGAACGAAATTTTATAAAAAAAGGAACATTAAAAACATCTAGGAAACATTAAAAAAATTGACGTTTATAGGGAATATGATTTCCCTTAACTCGTTTGCACATATCACAACGCATTTTCACGTTCGCAATAGCAGAATTAATTAGAATTTGGGAATGTACGTTGCAATCTTTCACGAATGGGATTTTTAATCTTTAAATCTTTAATAGAGTTATGCGTCTTCAAAGAGCTTTTCCAAGGGTATCCAGTAAGTTTAGTGTATTAAAAGATCTAAAGATACGGATAACTAATTTATTCGCTCGCCTTCTGTTTCAAGGAAATCTTATATTAGATTTTCACCACATGAATACTCCTTGTCCCATATAAAAAAATTCACATCCCCGTGCACTTCTGAAAAATTTTGCTTTGAGTTTTAAGACTTACGTCTCGATATTTCAAGCCAGGTACCGATTATATGTTGGAATAGACGTACTTCAGAACTCCAAATGATCATTATTCCTATTAAATTTCGGGTTTATACCGCTGTAACGGACACATTTCCTCCTGCTGGTGAGAAGTTTCGTAATCCAAATCTCTCATCCAAACGTGTTTAGAAACATATATTCAGTTGAAATTTGACTCAACATTAAACAAAAAGCAGGCTTATTTTTGTAGACTCAACTCTGATTCCGTCTGTACTAATTAGACTGGTTCGCTTTATTACTCAGTGGAACACAAATTACTGTCTTTCTGGCACACATAATTGTCTCATGAGTACATTTTGCAACAATGCAAAAACTACAGTGCTGGCGGCATGTTCTTAACTTACTACTGAAATATGAACAAAAACCGATGATTTGATTTTCTTCTACAGCCTCCTTTGCATATGATAGCACTCGATAAATTACCAAGACTATTTGTCACAAAACAGTTATTCATCTTGCCATTTCAATAAAAATGTATCTGCATCTGTAGGGCCAAAAGCTCTGCAGTTCAATATTTTATACGATACTCCGGCAAAATAAACAAAATTAAAAAAATAAATAAATAAATAAATAAATAAATAAAAATCTGAAATGTTTCAGATTTTAAATTACGTCCAAAGGGGCGTTTTTTAACATTTTGTGTGTTACCTTTCTTTATTAAATATCATGTTCCTCGCACTTAAACCATAAGATCCAGTGCAACAGCAATATCGCAAAATAGTTTTAAAACGAGCATATCTTTAGAATTTCCGATACAGAGACTCACGCGCTGGAGATAAAAAATTTTTTTCTGCACAACGTTGCCATTGCTCGCTTTGAAATCCTTGAGATTGTTAATCAAAAATTCGTCAAAGTTTTAAAAAATAGGAAATCGATCATAAAAACAAATTTCAAATTTCAAATTTGGTCTTCCACATGCTCATATTCGTTGGAGGATTACGTTATTCAAAATCGATGACTCTATGTACCGTTCTTTTATGACAATGTGAGAAATATACATACATTTACGCAGATTTTCATTATTTAATTTCTTCAAATATAATGCAGGACTCTAACATTTTATGGCAACAGTTTTGAAAAGTGAACCGACATTTATCCGTCCGACGCAAAATGCCAAAACGAAACTAATAGTCCTTCGGGATTCAAATCCCTTTGGACTAATAATAAATAAATAAAAAAAATCTGAAATGTTTCAGATTTTAAATTACGTCCAAAAGGGCGTTATTCTAACATTTTGTGCGTTACCTTATTAAATATTATTTTCTCCGTACTTAAACCATAACATTCAGTTCAAGAGCAATATCGCAAAATAGTTTTAAAATGAGCCTATCTTTAGAATTTCCGATACACAGTCTCACGCGATGGAGATAAAAATGGTTTTTCTATACAAGGTTGCAATTGTTCGCTTTGAAATCATTGAGTTTGTTTATCAAAAATTCATTAAATGTTTACAAAATATGAAATAGATTATAAAACAAATTCCAAATTTGGGCTTCCAAATGGCCATATTCGCAGGAGGATTACGTTATTCAAAATTGGATGATTCTAGGTACCGTTGTTTTATCACAGCGTGAGAAACATACATACATTGATGCAGATTCTTCATTATTTAATTTCTGTAAATATACTACAGGGAAATAATATTGGGTGGCAACAATCTGAAAAGTGAAACAATGCTTGTAGTGAGTTAATGCAAAATGCCAAAACGAAACTAATAGTCCATCTGGGCAAATTGCACCTTTGGACTAAAATTAAAATAAAAAGAAAAATCTGAAAGATTTTAACGAGCACCCAAAAGGGTTTGTTATGGTCATTTTAAGCTCCCGCTGAGCTCGCAGTCTTCCAGTCTGCTGCTGCATTCGCTCCTGCTTACTTGTATTTAACTTCATAGCGTGTTAATTATTTTCCCAAAATTAAAAACAAATTACACTAAAAATGGGTCATCTTAACACAAAACAGTAGGTGCAGTATTTTGGATAACATAATTTACTCACACAGATAAAATGCTGCAAGCCTTTTATGTCTGCTGCAAGTATCTAGCTAATTAAAAAAACTCCTTGTCGAAAAATAAATTAATGAAAGAAAGAACCCATTGTTTCATGCTTCATAATCGATATCATCTGACGATTTATTTTCCGATTATTAGAAATAATTCAGTAAAAAGTAAAATTAATATTTTTAGCGAAAGTAATAAAAATAAACGCCATTGATTCTTAATGTGTTAATCAATGAAGCAGAAGAGCAATATCGAATGGGTCAAAAAAAAAAAAAAAAAAAAACAGAAGTTTAAAAACTATTTTAATTTTTCTAATCCTTTCATTTCAATGGATTCAAACGGCTTCCAATACTAGAAAGGGGAATCAAAATCGTTTGACCTTCAGTGGAATTCCATTCCTTTATATCTGGAAATAAAGAACGCGTAACTTGCATCATTAAACATTTGCTCCGCTACGATGCTCTAGTTTCGACTTGGATCCGTTAGAGGGCCGATGCGTCGCTAGGAACAAAAGTAGAAGTCCTTTCCCTATTATTTGTATTGAGCGCAAGTTCTTAAGATTCCGTTTTTTTGGAAGCGAACCAAAAGAGGAAATAAAGAGTTTTAGATTAT